ATTCCTTCTATATTTAATATTTAATCTGACCTTGTTCTGAAGAGTGACTTTTATCTTTAGGAGCTTAAAATTCACTACAAACTATCCACGAAGCAGTAAGATGATTCATTACTTATACATGTAATGTGGCTACTTATGACAATAGCCAGGTTCATCCAGCTACTTTTGGTAGCTTTACCTTAAGTTTTCCATTGGATTTTTAGGGGAAATAATTCAGGAAGAGACACCCCCCAGATTAGCTTACCTGACTTTAACATAGTCTGAAAGAAGCCATCTGTAAATAGCTTTTGTGGCATGAGTCATAAATGTCCTTCCCTTAAAACTTGTTTTCTGTAAAAACCATGGCAAAGCCCCACAGTGATCTAAATGGAAGCTTAAAATAGACACAATTAATACATTCATATAACACAACACTAATATATAATATCTATAATTTACTATTTCACTGGACTAACAGGGTGGCATGAAAATCCAGAAACAGAATTTTCAACCTTGCTGTTAATTATGCTATGTTCTGCAGACTAGTCACTAGAAACACAACCAAGAAAAGGTAAAACTAATGCAGGAAATTCTCCGTTAATTCCCAAGGTTTTACATGCATAGTATTAGAATTATTTTCTTTTTGTAATTTCCATATAAATTTAGAGGGAGAAAAGGAACAGCAACCAGGGACACTAAACGTCAAAGATACAAGAAAGCTACAAATATGATCCTAATTTTGCATGTTGCACACTACAGAATAAACATGATCCCTGAAAATTAAATTCTTTGTTCACACTTCTACTATCTTAAGAAACTACTTTTGAAATACAGGTAGAACAAACACATACCACAAAACTTCAGGATTTTATGTAGAGCTTTTTATTACTGATTACATCATTTAGACACAGCTCTCCTCATCTCTCAGCCACTAAGCAATACTTAAACCACATTCAAAGCTTGTCGAAGTCTCCAAGAACTTTTTCAATTCAAAGCCAATAGACCAAAAGACACAACCAATACTCTTCTGCAGTCTTTGTGTAGAAAACTCACTCCAGGAGCTATCACAACAGTGTTAAAGCAGGCCAAGTTATAAAACAGTCAGAAACCAGAGTGACCTCAGAGAAGAGCTGTAGTGTCAAAAGTGAATGAACATCCTCAACATTCAGTCCTTAATTCTAAATGGAGATGCTTCAAACTTTTTTTAAAACATCTCAAAACTAGAATTTTTCCATACCATCTAAATAACCCCTATTTTCAGCTTGTCTTAACAACCTACAAGTGAACACAGCTCAGACCATGAAGTCAAGTTATCTGTGCTTTTAGGTGCCACTTACTGGCTAATGAGGAGGAGATCAATCTCAGCTGGATCTATCAAATCAATGTAAGGAAGAGCATCCATTCCTTCCAGTCCAGGATGGATTCCACAATCAAGCTGAAAAATGAAAGAAAGTTAAAACCTCTAACAGAACATATAAAAAAACCTCTTCCATCTTGGCTATGCTATAGTTATTAGTGACCGGTAACTTTTAGCATCACACACAATAAAGTTTTTTCTTCATTAAATGTTACTTTTAGCATTGGATTTCAAGCAGAATGGTTTGGGTTGGAAGCACATACATTCTATATGGGGATATGGTTTCATTTTACAGCACAGCCTCTGTGATGCCTAACATCATACATGCTACACTGCTCCAGAACACCACAAAATGTGCCTTTTCTAGACAGTGTCTGACGTCAGTGCAGAGGCTGAATTTAACCTGCAACATCTCAGATCACTTCGGTGACCTCAAGTACCATACTGAGAGGGCATACAAATATATCCATGCAATAATTACCATTATTTTTCTTCCTTTAAACTCCAGAATGATGCATGACCTTCCTACTTCTTGGCCAGCACCTCTGCAAAAGGATATCAAAGTTATGAGGCCTGAAACAACCCACACCACGCCGATGTAACTTCACCGGATGCCTTTACCAGGAGGGATTTCTCTGTAGAAATAAAAACTGCACGGCCCTTTTAAGCTCAGCTATGCACAGTACCTGAACAGCTGTACTTATCTCAAAGGAAATGAGGCCCTGCGTAGCGCAGCAGAAATAAAAACAACCTGTCTGAGGAAATTATTTTGGCCTCTTTTGTTTTTTACTAAGCACTCGAGTCTCAAACTACTGACACGTATAATTGAAGTCCACCTAAGTAAGAAATCGTGTGGAATAAGCCTGGAGTAGCATCTTCAAGCTGTCCCAAAAAGAACGCTTGTGGAGCTACCAGAAACACCCTCAGCCTGGAGCGGCACCTTCGCCAGGGGAAGAAGCGGCTCCCAGCGGTGCTGCCCCGGCCCCAGCCCGGCCCCAGC